AATATTTAAACGTGTGAGTTACAAAATAAGGCAAAATCTGTAGACATGTCTTTTTTCTATTGGAAGCTGCAAATGTAATTGAGCCACCTGACGTAGTACGATTTCATTTTCAGTGGTTAAAATCTGCCTGACTTTTGGCGTACCCTCCCCTTTTCCTCATGCTTAATTGTGGGGAACTAAAGCTTTTTATGTCATTTTGATTTTTTAGGAGAAGGAACGGTTTCTTCAAAAAGCATTGTTGCAGTGGAGGAACATTATCTTCGTACCACAGGGAAAAAGCTACCGCATGAACCGAAAACGCTGAAACATCTGACCAGTGTTTTGCCGCCTGTTGAAGTGGACAGTGCTGGCGCCTCATACAATCCTCCAATTTCGAGTTATTTGGTAAGCTATAGCAATATTCAGAAATGGCTTTTAAGCGCCCTGGACTTCCCCTCCCTGCCCTCACCCCTTCATAGGAAGCGCTTATGCATTTCTAAGAGTATTTTAAGCGATCAAAGCCGGACAGTCCCCGATCACTTTTTACGTTTGTCATTTCAAGGTTTTGCTTGCTTTACAGCCATATTTGTGCTAAATCGACAGGGGATGGATTTTTATTACGCATTTTGTGCTGCAGCAGTTGTACAAACCGCATATTGTCGAGGTCCTGTGTAGTTTTGTGTTCGGAGTGCATTTTTTTCGGGGTTTCAACTCGGAAACCGCAGAAGCTAGGAAGCTGAAATTTTAATAGAACGTTTCCGCCTATTTGCGACAACGCATTCTTAAATTCAGCCTTCATGTACCACGTACAACCCCACAAAAGTTTTGGCTGGGTGAATTATTATCTCGGGAACCGCGAAACTTGGAAAGCTGAAATGTTAAGGTATTGTTGCTTGACCTCCTACAACCCCTACCATTTCAGGAACCACGAAAGCTAGAAGGCTGAAATTTTAGGATAGTATCCCTTACGTATATGCGACAACGCTGATTCAAATCCCAGCCTTCCGGTTTTTCTGGGTACCCCACATACGGCCTGTTGAAAGTTTTGACGGGGAAACTATAACCTTGGGAACCACGAAAGCTAGGAGGCTGGAATTTTACAGTAACGTTTCATGCCCAAGTAAAACCTCGCAAATTCGAGTCCAGCTTGCAAGTAAACCTGAGTCACACGTATGACTCCGCTAAAGTTTTGGCGGGAAAAACCATTACTTCGGGAGCGAAAAGAGCTGAGAGGCTGAAAACTCCAGGAGGACGTATTCTGCTTATGCAGGGGCCTAACAGACTCAAACTTACCTCCCAATTATAAGAAGATTCACGTAAGAGCACGCGAAATTTTTGGAACGAAAGTTACTCGGAGATCAAAGAACTAGGAGGTCGAAATTTTAAAACAGTGTTTACCGTCCAAGTTCCCAAATTCAGCTTTCATGCACGTTTGTGTTCTATGCACTGGTGCGTGGAATTTTTAATGGAAAGTTCCGCAACTAAAGAACCAAGCAGCATATTGACTATTTTTTCATACACCAGAGTTTTTCGTGTGCCTCAGAAGCGAACGTTCGCTGGTTGGAACTGCGCAAAACGCATGATCGCACCGGCCACTCTGGTGCACATCGTTTTTTATTTCTTGATTTTTTCAAATTTTTAGCTCTTACGAAATTTTCTTAATTTTGTGTCGAAATAAGCATAGAATGTCGGGTACGGGGCACAGAATTCTGTGCAATTTGACAGAGTTCGTTAAGCATTTACTGAAATTTGTTAAGCATTATACCGCAGAAATTGCTGAGGAAGAAGCAAAAAAGATGAAGGAAGAGGAAAAAATCGAGCGCAGTTTGGTACTCGCACCAGGCCAAACATTCATCACCAAGGTTTCTTTGCGACATTAAATTTAATTTTTGTTATGGCGTGATTGTTTGCTAGCTGTGGATTTCTGGGCTTTCGGGGAAGAGCAACTGAGGCATTTCGTGTCGTTGATGC